ATAGAAAAGAATGTGAACTGAAAGTTGGAGACCAAGTTTATGTAGAAAATGGAAATCGATTAAATAGGAAAAAAATGGATGAATTGAGAATTGGACCCTTCAAAATTCTAAAAAAGATTTCAAATTCAATATATTTAGTTGATATCGGACACAAAAAAATGGAATCGAACCTCTATCACATTACAAAATTATCTCCAGTATCAGTTCCTACATGAACAATTACATGTAATTGTTTCCCTAAGGGGGGGAGATGTAAAGAAAAACCTTCATAGTCTAAAACTCTTTAGTTTTATAAAAAGGATTTTTCTTAAATGTCATTCAGTGAAGTTTGACATTAAGTAAAAAGAAAGTTCAGTTTGTTAATATAATAATTTTATTAAATTAAGGGCTTTAAATGTTGTTATCTCATTATACACATAACAGAAAACGCAATTAAGTCTTTTATTGTTTATTTATTCTGGAGTACCCAATATCATTATATATAAATAAGTATTTTGCCTTTTATTGGGTGAAGTAAAGCGAATTAACTTAGTACCAGGACGGTGCTGGAGCGCTTACTTCAATTTATAAGCGCGACGACTTGAATTGAAATTCACTTCGGATCAAGAAGTCTCTAATATAACGACTTTGGAGCAACCGGAATGTATGCGGTTTTTTTTATTAAGCTTCTAAAATATTAAAATATGCCTTAAAATCATTTCAAGTTTAAATGTTCGTGATCAAGACCGAAGCCAGGATGTTGTGTCGGAGGATCTAGATGAATAGTAATCGAATATAGACTGTATGAGTATTGTACTGTATTGCAGAGTACGGGGGAAAAATGGTCTGTTTGAGCTACTATTAGTACTTACTTCCTAATCATCCGTCTCGTATATAGCAAACAATCTTCTTTCTATATAGAACAAACTCAGTCTTGCCTATTTCTGACGCAAATCCGCAAGACGTCTGACGCAAGCCTTTTGATTTGATAAGATAGTTATTGCATTAATACAAGCGTAAGGGCGTAATTAGTAAGCTGAAGTGGTAATGGCCTTATTAGCCAGACAACCGATAGCCGTTGGGGTAAGCGCGCTCTTGAGTGGAGACCGCGAATTGGAAAACGCAGTGCAGGGCGCCCTCAGGCTCGGTGAAGTGATGATCTGTGCAGGGTGGCTGGCAGGAACTGGATGAGAGAAGCCGAGGATCGTGCTCAGTGGCGAGTAATTGGAGAGGCCTATGTCCAGCAGTGGACTGCTATAGGCTGAAGACGATGATGGTGATGAAGGGTGGATTGGAAATCCAAGATTTGGTACTAGAATTAGGCCTATTTCTAACGCAAGTCAGCCTTGGCTTCTGTTCTTAAGGAGTTTTTTAGGTCAGGAGGAAATCAACGGACTTCTGCCTAAGCCTTAAGCGGTTAAGCGGTGCATGTTTGAGTTGAATCGACTAAAGCCCCTGCCTCCAAGCCTTGGACAGATAGAACTCATCCGAGATAGACTAGGGCCAAAGTGAAGTTTTTTCATGCTTCCCCCTCACAGGGGGAGGCCCCTTGAGCGCCGAGCTTCTCGGTCGATTGCCTATGATTTGTAGCCCCACCAACTCGGACTCCAGGGATATCACTGAATCAGAACTAATGTGGATTAGGAATGCAATTATCCGTCCTATGGCATGCAAGACGAATGTAGGTGGTTTAATGAGTTTGGCAACCATTTTTTTATATAGGATAATGGGGTCAGAGAACAATATTCTTATCCAATAGCAACCGCACACGTTTCTAGCGTCACACGACGTCACGTCTTGAAGTCGTCGTGGCCTAACGGATAAGACGTTCGGTTCGTGTTGAGCGATGCACCGGTGTTCGAATCTCAGGCGGGTACCAATTTTTCTAATGATATACGTACTCAACAAATGTTCACGATTGATTTCCACAGTGAAGGAATAACATCGTGTAATAAAAAATGAAACCCGCAAAATCATAATTTTCATAATTACTGGTGGTAGGACCTCTTGTGAGTCCGCGCGGGTGGGTACCACCTCCCTGCCTATATCTGCCGTGAAGCAGTAATGCGTTTCGGTTTGAAGGGTGGGGCAGCCGTTGTAACTATACGTGGAGACCTTAGAACTTATATCTCAAGGTGGGTGGCGCATTTATGTTGTGGATGTCTATGGGCCATGTAACCACTTAACACCAGGTGGGCTGTGAGCGCGTCCACCCATCTAAGCAATAGAAAAAAAACACGCAGCTCGATTCTAATTGGTCGCCAAAATTTAGGTACACATATGCAATTTTCAATATTTTGTACCTACTCTGTACTCGCGTCGTTTGAAGAAGGACATGTCATATCGCTCGGGAAACACCGTGGAGAGGAGCTCATTCCAAAGCCGGATGGTACAAAAATATCTCTGGAAACGCACTGCGGATGAACGCAGTGTCTCCAGGTAGTTTGGATGAACTCTACTCAGATGGCGGGCGGAGCAGCTTTAGCAACGTCGCAATCGTGCTCCGGTGCGAATCGGCTGTTATACAAGAGAATTGACCGTATTTTTTTTCCTACCTACGCTGATAGCCTTGAGAGGCTATATCAGCTTCTCTTTGACGTGTAGGTGAGCTCACGGAGCTCAAACTGGGTGTGTTGGTAACACTGGCGCTAGCAAGAGCAGTGCTTCGCGGAATCCACCACCGGATCGGAAACGCGACCCACTGAGAAGATCCGGCGGGTCCAATGGGCTGTGTCTATAGGTTAATTCGCTCGTCGAGCCCTTTGTCGCAAGCGACGGGTTTGACGAGGACGGTGACCAGTGCTTGTGGTACCTAAAAGTACCGTTAATAGATCGGGAGGATCCATAATAATGTATTTTGGGCGAAGTCGACAAAGCGTCTTCTTAATGACCCCAGGTGGGTAGTGTTAACTTTGAGATGCATATTGGCTCTGGCAACCACTTAACAACAGAGAACATAAAAATGTAATAGACTAAATCACTAAAATCAAGCAGCCTTTTGTCTACATCAGACAATGTTACCTATATATTATTATACTCTGTCATAAATCAATTTATTTACGTTTTTCTGTACAATTGTAAATTATTTGCTTAACTGGTTTGACAAGCGACCTTTTATTGTCATTTACCGAGCAAATATGTTGTAAATCAATGTTATGTAACTACCCACCGTTTTTTTTTTTTTTTTTTAATATTTCTATCTGAATTATTTTATATATTATAATAAATAACAATAAAAAGAATTTATTGCCTTTCACATCACAAAAAAAAAATTAAATACAAATAAAACAAAAGAAAAAAAAAGAGAAAAAAGCAAAAGGAGGTGGCTCAGCTATTGCTGTTCAAGGTTGATAAATCGAACAGCGCTGATTTTCAGTCACCCCCGTTTCCCTTTGGTTCTTTGCGGGAATGAAGGCTAATTACGTGTGTACATACTTAGAATATGGTATAAATTAGTAAAACTAGTAAATTATAAAAAAATTAGAAAAAAAACAAAACAAAAATCAAATTAAATTGTGAACCCGATTACAAAACATAACAAGCACACAGCAATAACATCCTGTAGGCAGCCCACAACGAAACAACAAATAAAATAAAATAAAGCACGATAATACTATTACTAATACTGGCAAGCAGCACAACATTTACACTTGTATATTAAAAAAAATAACTTTAATAAAAGGAAGTTTTCACAAGCAAGGATTAAACTAGTTACTATAAATACTATAAATTAATTAAATTAGTTTTTGTGAATCCAAAAGAAATAATTTTAAACAATTAATAAAGCCATGCTTTGTTACAATGTGACGAATATATTACCATTTACTTTCAATTTACCACCGGTATTTTTATCTTTCTTAAGATAATCAATGGTCACAAATCATCCTGAGACAGACATGACATGGGTTGCAATAAATGCAGAAAAAACCTCAAGTGGTCTATTTCTTTTTTATTTATTTTTTTTGTTGCATTTTTGGGTGGACCAGCTCACGGCTCACCTGATGTTAAGTGGTTACCGGAGCCCATAACAGCTACAACGCAAATGCCGCCACCCACCTTCGATATGAGTTCTAAGGTCTCAGTATAGTTCCAACGGCTGCCCCACCCTTCAAACCGAAACGCATTACTGATTCATTGCAGAAATAGGCAGGGTGGTGGTACCTACCCGTGCGGATTCACAAGACGTCCTACCAGATGGGCTGTGAGCTCGTCCACCCATATAAGCAATAAAAAAAAACATAACGTAATACGCTCTAAGTGCCTAGACTACAGTTCGTAGAGTAATGATCTCGGGGGTAGATCATACTGACTTGTAGTTTTGATTTGAATAAGCGACGGTCAAATTCATATTGATTATCTACACTGTTTCTTTTTGAATACCATTTTAAGCGGTGGTAAGTAATCGTTTATAACTACTAACTCTATAAAATTATAATTATATGTAGTGCATTATTCTCTGTAAATAATCTTTATTATAATATGTAAGTTTATAGTAACATTAATTTTGTGTTAATCCCAGGCACCAATAATATTGCCAAAATTGGATACTTTTCATAATATAAAGTGTGTTTAAATAGCTCGTCAATGTTCCGTGTGTAGCCATAACACGACACTGGCAGAAATTGCTGAAAGTATCGGCAGATTGTCATTAAAAAAAGAAAAAGTAATCGTTTCTCATGGATATCAGCAATGCCAGGGCACAGACAAACCGCTCATTATTGCTGAATATTCTCCTTAAATGGATTTTGAAGAAGAAAATGTGAAAGCGCTCGGGAAACATCGCGGAAGAAAGTTCCTTCAGAAGTCGAATGGTACGTGGCAAAAAGCGGTTCCAATTTATAATAATTGTTCCATTTAAACAAAAAAAAAAAACTGGTATTATATTATAATATTGTAAAAACAACTCGCCCTTAACGCTTCGTAAGTGTAATCACTATCATATTAAAAGTGATAAATGTTTATTTTCTTATCAAACATAATTTAAATACAGTGCCTATTTATATGTAAGTGCGACTCGATAGATTTTCTTATAGTAAGCTTCTATATCTCGAACATGAAGTTAATGCTGTGTTTATGTCTTCTTTCGTTTTTCGCTTTGACTGCGGCGGATGATACAGACTGTGAATCTGATCTAGATCCGGCCGATGGTATGTAGATTTGCCATACATCCAAACTGAGCATCAATCAAATCTAAGTTAGCTCTAATGTTCTCCGGACTGTTTTTCGTATTACAATTAAATTAAAAATACATATGATTTTTTTTATTGATCTATTGATTATTTGACTTTAGGAGAAAATTATACATATTTTTTTTTTATTGTTCGCTCATAATTTTAAGCTTTATTGCACATAATGTTTTCTTCTATCGCAAAGAATTTAATCGTTCCGATTTTAATTAGAAGGTCAGCCAATATAATTAAGACTTGAACTCGTGTCTCAAAATGGGTCACGACATTCTCGTTGCGTTTCCTATGACCACCAGATCAGCCGTGTGCTCCTTTTTTCTTCTAGAAAAGGAATAACCAACAAAAGAAATGTTTTTGTAAAAAAAAAAATGAATTTGACCACTCATAATGTTACAGCTGTTAGCAGCTTGTTTGAAAGACACAAAGAAAGAACTATTTTTGTCTATTTTAAACTTTGTATCGCTTAATGTTTCCAGATCCGAGGAATATCGAAAGACCTTGTCCGAACTTCGACTTGGACTGTATTCGTGAATATTTTACGAGTAATTCGAAATGTCAAATAACGCTGGGGCCAGTACCGGATCCGCTGCTTCTCAACAATTACAGATTAGATATAGCAAACTCTAATATTACCGCCCAATTTAACAACGTAAGCGTTCGAGGTCTCAATGGGAATATCGTTGAATTTTAGTAAGTATTTTCCAGGTCATGAAAAAATATCCAAATTGCATCATCATTTTGGTTTTTCATGTCTGTATTGTTTTTAATGTCGGTTTTCATAGAGAGTGTTACCGGAACTTCTGGACATTAGAAGGTAGGTTTTGTAGGCAACGGCTTGGTTCTGCCCCTGGCATGCTGAAGTCCATGGGCGACGGTAACCATTCACCACCGCGTGGACCGTATGCTCGTCTGTATACAAGGACAATAAAAAAATTGTACATTGTGCACCAAGGGAGGAAAGTTGGATATTTCCTCCCGCGTGTTTACAATTTTACAATTTTGAGATGCCCTACATTTTTTCCCGCAGTGCACATACTATTTTTTCTTCTACCAGGCCAAAAGTTCGACATTGTAAAAAATTTAGCACCCATGGAGTACCGAGCCGGGGTCCAGGGGCGAAGCCCTGGCGGGGGCTTTAATTGTTTTATTAATTTTTAAATAAACTACTACTAATTGAATAAGAATTGTCTGATGAACTCATCTTTGTTTAATACTTCACTATTAAGTTTTATTGCCTTTTGTTTATTTCACTTTTACACTAAACACAATACTGCAAATTACCCGAGCAAAAAATGGCGGAGAATTTTAGGTGCGTGAGAGCAGACGTAGACACTAACGCGCATGCGCACTTGTCAGTATCCAGGGAGAAAAAGTCAGACTTTCTTCCCTGTACAGTGGGACGAAAACCGAACTTTCGGCGTCGGTAGGAGAAAAAAGTGATTGCTATCGACGTCACAATTACAATAATACCTATACCACCGTTCAAATCGGACGGAATGATAGCTTGGTATAAGAAGAGGTGACTCGTTTTGTTTCAAAGTCATTTCATAGTCATAGTTTATGGATAAGATTTGTTTACCACCATTGTACCCGTCTGCTCGTGATCCCGACATATTTCATGATTGCCTACAGAATTCATATTCATTTCAATGCTACATATTTGGTTACGATTATAGATTTAAATAATCTTTAGACACTGGCCAAAACAATTGTCGACCCTCAATATCCTTTAAATAAATTTTTCACATAATAAAATTTTCTTCTTGAGTTCAAATTACCTCGATAGCTGTTCGCTTCAGAATATTTAACAGCACTGTTTTTTTTTTTTTAAATGAATTGTAACCTTTTGTAGCATCAACAGAAAAACTGAGAAACTGGTGCTGGCAACAGAAGTGAAAAGCTTAGCATTTGATTCTCCACAGGTGGTATTTAAATACAACAGGAAAGGTAAAGAGCCCATTGTACGAGGTGACTGTGTGGATTGTGAATACGGTAAATGCTTCAGTTGATCTTTATGTTATGTTATTTAATTATTTAGTCCACTTACAAATTAACAGTTTAAACCAAAACATTTGTAAGGTATTAATAATTAGCTTAAGTAATTTCTAACAACAACAATAAATCGCTGCAAACCATCATGGAATATATCCATTTCCGGAGCATGGGCTAACAAGCCATTGAGTAGCGAGATAGCACGATGTGTCGGAGAGTTAGCGGTGTGCTGCGTACGCGCGTGCGTGGTACTAAGAAGCTGCCGCTGGCGACGCACCCCTTCACACATACATCCGCACATGTAGCCATCAGGCACATATAGCGACACTGATTCCAGTGCAGTGGAGTTATCAATTTTTTTATGCAATAACTGATAATAATGCACCACAAGAGTCATCTTATGTTGCATTATGGTTATACTAAGTGTTATACTTTTGTGATCGTAAAATGAGATAAAGGGATCAATTCTGACGATCCAGAGAGTACCCTCCATGGAACATAGGGTACAAATACTGACTCGCCCTTCAAACTGGAACGCATGATTGTTGCAGTAATATACAGAATATTCGTATGTATCCTTGCTGGTTTTTAACCGTAAATTTGACAACCATCCTTAAATCTTCTTCTTCTATCTCTTCACCCTAGGTTTTTTTTTTTTTTTTTTTTTTTTNGCGTAGATTCGGATACAGCCCCCGTGATCCACGCGCAGCCACAAGAGGGACAGGTCCCGTTGTTCGAGGCCCCGAAGACGGCGACAACAGACATCCGCCCGGACGAATACGCACACCCCGGCTTTACGTAGGAAGTTGTGCTCCAATACGTAGCCGGGGTATTCAAGGTATGAGGTATCGTCCGGAGCAGATATCTGCGTCTCCGTTGGGGTGGGGGTGGCACAGCTATTTTTTCTCTTCCATTCTCTTCCATCAGCTCAAAACCCACTCCTCTCTTTCTCGTATCGTCATTGACACACTCCATCCTTGTCTTTTTCGGTCGTGCTCTTCCCCCTCTACCTTGCACCACCATTTCCATACATCTCCTAGATGCACGCATCTTCTCTCTACGCATCACATGTCCATACCACGCTAACCGTCCGCTCTTTAATTTAAGCATCCCTAAATGAATGAGATTATTATTGAATGTTTTTAAAGAGCTGAACAAACGTACTACTCCTTATATTTTCTGGCTTCGATGTGCTTATAGCAACGTTACATATTGTAGTTACGTAAAATATATTTTCATTTATTTTAGAACTATTGTTTGAAATATGATATAGATACATTCGAAATTGACTACATCGCTTCCTACTTTCTAATATAATTAATTATTACAGGAGCTGCAACTTTCACTGCTGTATTTCCAAGTATCTGCGATTTAGATCTGAGCAAAGCTGAAGTTTTCACCTACGTCGAAGACTCTAATCCCAGATATAAAATAGGATCACGACTATTTTCCATTTCTGGTAATTATTTGATTTTACCTAATTCTCGCAATCGACTTATCCTTTGAAAAATCGAGCTAATTATTCTACAATATAGTAAACGGTGAATGCCATATTGTATCCATTTAAATGCTTCAGCTTCGAGAATGATCGACGCTTCAACAAGTTACTTTTTCATGTATATTATTAATCAAACTTATGGTAAAAGCGTTCTTCTATTAATTAAAAACACTCTAAGAAATTTGATCATTCTTAAATACAAAAGTTTGAAACAAGTAACAGAACAACAAGTGCAGAACAACTTATGACGGCTATGGCCTAACAGACAAAGTAGCCGTAGTAGTCATTGTCCAAAAGATAAAACGCTTGGGGTACTACTAGTTTCGAACGATGCGACAATGCCGTAGTAGAAATCCCTAGAGCAGCTTCCAATATTTTTAATGAAATATATACAGAAGAAGTGTTCACAAAAAACTTTCATCACGATGAAGAAGAAAATCAAACACTCGGTATGTACTGAGTATTCATGATGGGGCTCAATGTTACCCAATATAAGAGGGATCACCTCTCTGTTCACATATGTGTATGTGAAATACAGTGAAGTATACAAGTACTGCACTGATTTGAACATCGTAATTGACTCCAACTGCATGCCTCATTGTGATTTGACATTCATTTAGAATCTTTAAGCTCCGGTAATCTATACTGATATATAAATCTACAGTAGTTTTTACGGATGTTACGTTATAACTACTGTACCATGCATCCGATTGACTTGAAACTTGGTATCCATGTGGAAAATACATGTACTTAATGGATATGCAATATTTATTTTAGTGTTGGACTCCCTAATAATAATGAAAATAAATAATAATGTTAATTTTAAATGCCCAGCGAAGCGGGTGAGTACGGCTAGTCATATATAATATAAAGAGATGGACTGTGACGTATATAAGCCCTTCAATTAATAACAATAACTGACAACATATGTAGTCTGTACGTATGTAGTCTTGATTGGAACCCCTGGCAAGATGCCGTTTCTTTGCACTCACTGAGAGCTTGTTAGTTTTCAACCTAACGCCATTGAGTTGTTTTTAAATACTCTTATAAGGATAAAGCTTCTGGTTTCTTCTTCTTCTTCTTGAAGATCTACTGTTGATTGGAAGAAAGACGATATACTTAATTATTGCCGTAAAAAAATTACTTATTGTTCTAGATTCTGTGGCACTAAACGAGTTCCTAAAGTTTATAACGAGTATGTCGGAAAATATTCAAGAAAAGTTTATCTCGCAAGGAAGAATTTTTATGGCCAACTACATAGAATATAATATCTGTGACTTTGGATTAAATTTAGCATCTAAATAAGTTGTTGAAAGTGATCTTAAATAAACCAGAAAAATAAAAATTGCTTTTCATTTATTGATTAAATAGTGTATTTGTAAAACAGAGTTTATATTATATACATAGTATACGGATTCTTGAAAGTGAAAGCTTCAGCGAATTTGTAATTTACTTAATAAATGGCTTTTATCAAATTCATTTTTTTTTTCTATTTTCCTACCTATGCTGATAGCCTCGAGAGGCTATATCAGCGTCGCCTTATCTAGTAGGTGAGCTCACGGGGCTCAAACCTGGTGACGTTGCTAACACGAACCCTAGCAAGAGCCGTGCTTCGCAGAGGTTCAAATCCAATGTCCAATCTAAAGCCAAGATGGCTTGCCGAATTCAAAGAATGGCAAGCATATGGCATGTTAACTGTTAGAACTATCCCAATACAGTAATATCGACGAATATGACAATGCAGGGCTTCTGAACCTATGGCCAGATTTAGCGAGAATCCAGGATTGAGTCATCTGTACAAGCCGGGGGTGTCTTAAACATCACCACAATCTTAAACAAGATAATGTTAACACAACTTGTCTAAGGCAAGAAATGAACAAATCAATTTCACACAGACACTGACTCGTGGCCTACCTTAGTAAATTGTATGTACGTAAATTGGTTCCTTTTCAAACTAAATATTCCCCATCTACAGTCATGAGGTAAGACATAAAATCCCAGGCGACATTTCGTTTTAGCTACTACTGAATCTAACTATGATTGTTTCTTGGAAAAATAGGTAGGGTATTAGGACACACAAATGCGCGGGCTTGCAACATGCCCTACCTACATAAAAAGGGTATTAACGGGAAATAAAGTCCTTCCGGCCCCGATTCATTTCCCATAAAATAACGCTCATCGTTTTTTTATTTAATTTTTTATTGCTTAGATGGTTGAACAAGCTCACAGCCCATCTGGTTTTTAAGGGGTTACTGGAGTCCACAGAGATCTACAACGTAAATGCGCCACCCACCTCGAGATATAAGTTCTTAGTTCTCAGTATACTTACAACGGCTACCCTACCCTTCAAACCGAAACGCATTACTGCTTCACGGCGGAAATAGGCGGGGTGATGGTACCTACCCGTGCGGACTCCCAAGAGGTCCTACCACCAGTGATTACGCAAATTATAATTTTGCGGGTTTGATTTTCATTACACGATTTTATTCCTTCACCGTGGAAGTCAATCGTGAACATTTGTTGAGTACGTATTTCATTAGAAAAATTGGTACCCGCCTGCGGGATTCGAACACCGGTGCATCGCTTCATACGAATGCACCGGACGTCTTATCCTTTAGGCCACGACGACTTCAAGTCAATGTGAAAGAGTTCTTCCATCGCATCAGATCGTCTCCCGAGCTCAGGTATCTTCTAAGAGTTAGAACCGCATCAATCTGGGCTTATGATCGTTATTACACCAAATCAAACCGGATTCGGATGCGTTCTCTAGAGCGAGACGTCTATTCTCGCGTAGAAGAAGCTCGAAATACAACGGAAAGCTATTTAGAAGGATTCGTGCCCTCTCACCAAGCATACTGGCGACTAGCTATGACCCTCAAATCGAAAACGATCGCCAGTATGCCTCCCCTCGCACGCCCCTTAGGCTATCTTCCAGTTTTCAATGACGATGAAAAGGTAGAGGTACTGACCGATGCACTACAAGAGCAGTGCAGCACCAGGACTTAATCCGTGGACGCCGAACACACCGTGTTAGTTGACAGGGAAGTCGAGCGCAGAACTTCCCTGCCACCCATTTTTTTTTTTTTTTTTTTTTTCCCACCTATGCTGATAGCCTTGAGAGGCTATTTCAGCTTCACCCTAACGTTAGTAGGTGAGCTCGCGGGGCTCAACCGGAGAGTTGCTAACACTGACCCTAGCAAGAGCAGTGCTTCGCTGAATCTACCACCGGATCGGAAACGCGACCCACTGAGAAGATCCGGCGAGAAACTCAGTGGGCTGTGTCTATGGGTTAGTTCGCTCGTCGAGNGGACATCCACGGTAGTTCGCGGGGTGCCCTTGCTTAAGGCATAGGACACAGCTGGGAGGTTCGGTCGCGGTTTCCCTATCTCTAACGCAATCTAACGTAGCGTGATCGCCGAGGCATTTCACGCAGCGGGGGCGCGCGTGGCAATTACGCGCCGAGTGGCCATAGAGTTGGCACCTGTAGCACTGCCCGGGAGTGCCACAGGAAGCCTGATCGTAGCGATTGGTTTTGCCTTGAAAAAGGCAGTTGGTAAAGGGTGGGTTCGCGGTTACAAAACTTTAGCGCACAAAAATAGACTCCGAGACGCAAATCGCAAGCGACCAACGGATCGGCACGTCCGCACTACCGAATTGTAAGCACGATGTATTCACGGTCACTACACTGTCGAGCACAACTGTGAGTTCAGAGACGCAGCTCGCAAGCGGGCCACGGATCGGAAAGCACGTCCGCGCACGACCGAGTCGTGAGCGAGAATGTGTGCCACCCATAGACGCGTTACCACTTATTACCGTTAAAGAAATAAAGGGAGAAATCGCGAAGTTACAACCACGGAAAGCGCCCGACTCTGACGGAATCCACGACCGCGTATCAATTTTGTTACCTGCCCAACTAATAATCATGTTGGCCTCTATTTTAAATGCCGCTATGACGAACTGCATTTTTCCCGCGGTGTGAAAAGAAGCTGACGTTATCGGCATACATAATCCTGGAAAACCTAAAAACGAACCCATAAGCTACCGCCCGATTAACCTTCTCCCAGCGATAGGCAAACTGTATCAACCACTGATTCGTAAACGCCTCTGGGATTTTATTATCTCAAAAGGCATCGTCATAAACGAACAGCTTGGATTCCGCGCCAAGCATTCGTGCATCCAAATCGCCTCACGGAGCACATTCTAGTAGGACTAAATAGACATAGACCTGTCCCCACTGGAGCCCTCTTTTACGATATCCCGAAGCCGTTCGACAAAGTCTGGCACAACGGCTTAATTTATAAACTGTATAACATGGAAGTGTCAAACAGACTCGTGCTCATCATACGAGACTTCTTGTCAAACCGTTCGTTTCAGTATCGAGTAGAGGGAGCCCCGTCTCTCTCGCGTCAGATCTCGGCCGGATTTCCGCAAGGTTCCGCTCTCTCTCCGCTATTTTTCAGTTTATACATTAACGACATACCCCGGTCGCCGTCCGCCGATAGTGGTTCCGGAAGTGGTACAATGACATCAACCCCACGAAAAGCTCAGCTGTGATTTTCAAAAGGGGTCGCCCTCCCGATACTACTGGTAGTATCTCGTCACCAATTAGCTAGGTGGGTAACTGTAGCTCGATTCCTGCCATAAAAATATTTGGCCAGCCCATACCGTGGGCTTTAAAAGCTAAGTACTTAGGCGTCCCTCTCCACAGGGGGATGACGCCGAGCTGTGTTCTTACTCGGTCAAATCTACCCCATGATTGGCAAGCGAAGTAAATTGTCCCTTCATCACAAGGAGACACTCTATAACAATTGTATACATTCCGTCATGACCTATACAAGTGTAGTGTACCACCAATACCGTTTCTGCAGGATAGCTGTCGGAGCACCGTGGTATGCGAGGAATTTAGATCTTCACGACGACGTAAATCTAGAACCGATATATAAGTATCTTAGAGAAGCGTCAGAACGCTATTTTGAAAAAGCAGTGCGGCACGATAGCCCTCTTATCGTGGCCATCGCTAATTACATATCCGACCCAGGTGATGAAGCAAAGCAAAGTCGCTGTCGCCCAAAACATGTCTTGTCGGATCCCTCGGATCCACTTTCGATACTTCAAGCACTGGTCCAGACCCAGATAATGAAACCCAAAGGCTGATAGACAGTTAATTTAATATATATTTTATGAGACACTAGGTGTTGATCGTGGCTTCGTCCGCGTGGTCAAGAAAAAGTGTCAGTGTAGCTTCCAATGGGAATAAGATGTTTTTTTTGCATAAGAGGTAGTCGGTCGCATCGCTCGTCTGTCCTAATGATTACTATCACTTTTCAAAAATCAAAATTTCAAAATCAAAATCATAATTACAAAAAAACTATATCAATCTGATTCTCAGTTTCGTTATAAAACAAAGACAAACAAACAACGAACTAATTTTTACATTTATAATATTAAAATTATGGACTTGCAGTCTCGTTTTGTTCGTACACTTGAGATAATATCTATAATTGATTATGCATCATAGAACATACGTTAAAGCGTCAAGTTACACATCTGGTTTGATGTATATAAACAAAGTTTAAATATATAGCCTTATTGTTGAGCATGTTTACTCGTTTGATGCGAATAACAAAATAATAATTCATTTGTCTCAAGTTGGTTAGTGCTGTTCATGAATCCTGCTTAAACTAAATTTCCCATCACTAAACATTAAAGACGATGATGATGATGATGATTATCATTGGAGATTATTGGAGATTAAAAAGGAAATAAAGTTATTATTTCAGATTTAGTAACAAAAAAGAGTTTTGGAATTTAAAAAGTGTGTCGAATTTAACGATTTATCGATGTTCTAAATTCTGTTGGAAAAGGAATTAAATTGGAAGTTCTATATTTTGTAAATAAGAATATTATGTAATGCTAACGGACCCGGCGAACTTTGTTCCGCCACACTGTTTGTTTTAAACACGTCAACTTCAAAATTCTACGATAATTAACCATAGAGCATATTACGTTTAGCTGTCAGTTGCGTTTTGTTATTCCATATCAGTTGCGTTTTGTTATATCACGTTTTATGTCACGTCCCACGGGAACGTGATAAAAAGTATTCTATGTCCTTTTCCTGGTTCTAAGCTACCTCCTCACCAATTTTCAGCCAAATCAGTTCAGCCATTCTTGAGTTATAAATAGTGTAATTAACACGACTTTCTTTTATATATATAGATAAAGAGGGAATTCAATTCGAAATGTACAAAAAGGAGTTTTTAGTTCAAAAAGTTTGTGAATTCGAAGTTCCAAATTCTTTAAAAAAGTATTAGAACCTGATCACGTTCTTCTGAATAAGCTATTGTATCCGCAGTTTATTTTATTAACTTCGTGTTTAATGTAACATTAATCTCTTGTCATCAATATTATAAATCTCATTTTTTGGCCCTTATTCGAGTTTTAACTCGAATTCACTTCAACTCACTGTTGAACACAACTCTAGAGTTTGCTGATATCAAACTTGTAGTTACATTATTTACCCAGATGCGCAAATCGATTCTGCTTTAAATCATAGTTACAGCAACAAAGTCAATATAATATTTAATGTAAACGAGCAATAATATGACAATAAACTCAACATAAAACACCTTCGTAATATCCAGCAAATATTACACAATGCTTTCAATACACAGAAGGAATTATACAAACTAGTTTCTTTTTATAAAAATATATTGTATATGATATAAAGTGGAAAGTTTTCTAGAACGCAGTTAATCTGTTACAATGAGGCTTGTATGGTACTCGTGTCTTGCCCTTTTCGGTTTGATTACAGCTAAAAAATTTGGTTGTGACAAGAATCTGGATCCTGCCGATGGTATGCAGATTTATTTCAATATTGCTTTTTGATTAGACTACGTTATCGAGCTCAGAGCACCGGTAGTGTTTAACGATTACGAGAGTCCACAAATATACATCATAATAATATTATGAAAATACCACCCCCCCCTGATGATATGAAATGTGAGATCAAAGCCTATATTGTGTTTGAGGCTGTGCTTCAAATCATAAAACATGACTGGTCCGTAACGGAAATGGATACTAGTACCCATTCAGAATCAAAATACAGCCTACAATCAGTCTTTAATTAAAAATTTTAGGCCCATTCCTATTTTTTGCGTGATGTATAACAATAACAAAAATCATTTTCGAATCAGATTAATTCATTTGTTAATGTGGAAATAAATCATTTTTGTAACAAATTAAAAATTTACAAAATCCACTTTAGAGAAATCAAAATTTAAATGAGTGAAATGAAGTTTAAATGATTAAAATAAAACAATTTTAATGAGCAACATAACAACAATAGCTTTGTGATGTGATAGTAAAGCATTTGTTTATAAAAATATATTTCTCCTTATCCTCATTTCTCATTTTATAGGGTTGGCGTCGCATGCCGCTATGCTCGCATTATTCTAAATAAAAATTTGGTATTAGTTTTAGGACTGGCCATTAATTTTTTGGGTTATATTTCCATTAGTATATTATCAATGCAACGTGTCGTAGGGAGACACTTTTTGCTTATTCTCTTTTCTCTATTTCTCTTCTTTTATTTCATTGGTTTTTGATTCTATAGTTTCGCTTTCGTTTTTTTTGTATTTTCAACATAATATGTTTCTTTATAAGAATAGTTTTCAGTTATTCGATTGAATACCGTATAATTGGCCAGCTTCAGAGACCGACGAATAATTTTACAAAATGGTAGCTGGTTAATGATGGATCATGGATGACGGATGATGATAAATTAATTATTATTTTGGTGATCAACGATTTAATATATTTTCAGATCCGAAAAATATCGAAAGACCTTGTCCGAACTTCGACTTAGACTGTATTCGAGAATATTTCTCTAGTAATTCAAAATGTCAAATAGCACGGGAGCCAGTACCGGATCCACTGCTTCTCAACCATTACAGATTAAACATAGCAAATTCTAATATAACTATGGAACTCAATAATGTAGAAGTCGGAGGTCTTAATGGAAATATTGTTGAGTTTTAGTAAGTAATCTTCAATACGATGTTACGTCTTTGTCTTTTTATCTTCTTCTTATTATTAACCCACAGACGTCCACTGCTGGACATAGGCCTCCCCCAAGCCACAAAGACCGGTCCTGTGCTGCCTGTATCCAGCGGAGTCTTTTTATACATTACTTAATTAAAATAGATGGAACGACAATCTACTGAAAATCGGTAGGTCACATTGGATACAAGCAAACTGCCGCACTGGACATCAAGTGGAGAGGCCTATGTTCAGCAGAAAAAGAAATCAAAGCTGTTGGTAGGGACTGGATGCGAAGGGCAAGGTTTTTTTTATTGCTTAGATGGGTGGACGAGCTCACAGCCCACCTGGTGTTAAATGGTTACTGGAGCCCATAGAAATCTACGACGTAAATGCGCCACCCACCTTGAGAAATAAGTTCTAAGGTCTCAAGTATAGTTACAACGGCTGCCCCACCCTTCAAACCGAAACGCATTGCTGCTTCACGATAGAAATAGGAATTTTACTGGTGGTAGGACCTCACAAGAGGTCCTACCACCAGTAAAAGTAAAGGGACTGAAGAGAATGGGGTGCACTCGAAGAGATCTACACCCCGCATTGGGTGGACACGGGTTGAAAAAGAGAGAAGAGAGATGTTCAGCAGTGGACTTGGAAATTCTGAGATGATGATGATGATGATGAATTAAAATAGAACAACCTCTCAAACGGGCGAAAACTACACATCTCAAAGTTGGAGTCAATTATCTATTGACCCGAGATTTTACCTACGTTTATTTTTAATTCATTAAGAATGAACCATATTATATTCTTTGGTACTTACTATTAGTCGATTTACTGATTTGTGGTATGTAATCACGAACCTCCAAATACGGTTCTTTATTAAAATTTATTATAGCGGATATATCCGACGTTGCTTTGGTCACAATTGAAGTGTCCTGTATGCTATTTCAAAAAATCAAGCGTAAATTAATTCAAATTTGTCATCTTGCATAACTGTGTCACAAATGTCCAAAAAACAAATTTTCACATTTAAAATATTGGCTTAGGTTAAAATCATTCTGATTGGCTTTTTGCAGTATAAACAAAGAAACTCAGAAACTGGTATTGGTAATAGAAGTGGACTCTGTAAGATTGGAATCGATACAAGTAACATTCAAGTACAATAGAAAGGCTAAAGAGCCCATTGTGAGAAGTGATAATGCCACGTGTGATTACGGTAAATACTCCAATTCATCTCGAGATTAAAGTTTAAAGTCATTGGATATATACTTTGATTGATCACAGCTAGTTCCTATTCGCAAAAAGAATACGAATATTTAAGTTTTATTCTAGTACCAGTATTCTCAGATCAAGGAGTTAAAGGCCAAGGTAGCCATGGTAGCACAAACAGAAGCAGACGAAGCGAATACCTTTATTATGATATATCGTTGACTCTACTGTTTTTAATGAATTTACTAATAAACTAATGAGGTCATCAATGACGATTCCCAAACGTAGACAGCCGTTATACAATTGAAACTTTTATCCCATATGTCGGGATGTTTTGCGGCATCCATTTTTGGGGAGAGGACCGGTTTAATGCCCATCCCTAAGGGGATGGGGGTCAATAACCTCGTGGTAAAAAACTGCACTTAGTACAGTAGCGGTCCCTAAAAGGGGCCACCATTTAGGAATAAACAAGGGGAAGGACGTGGGAGCCGGTACTGGTTGAAACTCAGTCCCAAAGGGGGTAGGTAGTTCAATGTTCTCTGAGGTCCCAGAGCTGTCGAGAATCATTTAGCTCTGTATCTTTATCGAAAGGTTTGAGAGCTCCGGTGTCAGCGTCTTAACATCAGGTAGTCCCACGTGCAGCTGAGCAATATTGCGAAGGTACTCGTGGGATCCGCTTGTGGCTCGGTCGTACATGTTACAAATGTGCCTATTCCCGAAAGCTACTAGATCCTGATTCCGGGTGATGATATAATTCCTGAAGTACTGCCCGGCCTCGACTATAGTGCTGAAGGAAAGATATATATATATATACCTTTGGCTGGGCCTATAACCTCACTCACAGAGACGGCGACAAGAGATGATACCAGGTGACAGCAGAGACTGAAAGAAGAGACTGAGTTTCTTAGGAACAACTCTATTACGGCCCGGACTGTAGAGAAGTATTACAGTCTTTCCCACATTGACCGCGACTATCTATCGGTCCAGCCACTGAGGTAGAATATTCAATAGCCTCTGCATTCTCACAATGGTGATAGAAAGAAATGGAAAGGACAAAAAGTAAGTTGAGTCGTCTGCGAACAAGGCGAGCTCTACGACTTCCTACCACTTCCGAAGGTGCCCCTTTGTGCTGCGGATGTCATTGGTTCAGAGAGGGCGTATAGGAGGGGTGATAGTACACTCCACTGAGGATCCCCTGCTGATATCAAGAATTTGTAAGGCCATTTCATTTAAGGACATTTATAAATACCCTCAGATTTAAGTTTCACAAAATGAAATTGATTATATTGCTTTTCACCATCTAATTTCAGGACCTATGAGTTTTACTGTCGTGTTTCCGAGCATCTGCGATCTTGATTTGAACAACGCCGAAGTTTTCACGTACGTTGAGGATTGTAACACGAAATATACAATGGGAATAGGTCTATATTCCAGTTTGGGTAAGAATTGTACTGATTGTTTCGATTCGATTCACTTCAATTGGATTTATCTTTGGCTCTGCACTCATTACGATGCGAGTGTGCCAGTGTTGAAATCCCTAAAACAGCTATAATTTTTTTAAATAAAGTAAATACCTTACACCTATTCACGGACGACTTCCACGATTAATAAAAGACGTACACAGAAAAGTACTGGTGGTAGGACCGCTTGTGAGTCCGCACGGGTAGGTACCACCACCCTGCCCACCCTGCCCTTACTGGAGCCCATAGACATCTACAACATAAATGCGCCACCCACCTTGAGATATAAGTTCTAAGGTCTCACTATAGTTACAACGGCTGCCCCACCCTTCAAACCGAAACGCATTACTGCTTCACGGCAGAAATAGGCAGGGTGGTGGTACCCACCCGCGCGGACTCACAAGAGGTTCTACCACCAGTTCACAAGAGGTCCTACCACCAGTATACTATTAACTATTATTATGAACGATTACTATCAAACCTACCGATAAAGGGCCGAAGTAAAGAGCTCTTAAATTTGTTGTTCCAGATCGTGTAGCCGAAAGAGAGTATCAGAAACTGATAGCTTCTATGCCAGGTGCCGTTCTAGAAAGTTTTATCACGGAAGGAAAAATTTTCATGGACCATTACATACAATACAATATCTGCAACTTTGGATTAGAATTAGGCTGTGAATAAATTAACAATTTATACATTAATTGAATGAAATCTACTGTTACGGTTTAATCTCGCGTTAATTATTTTTATTTTGTTGTTCCCGATTTTCCCGATCGATGTAATTTTATTATCACTAGTGGTCCCGCAGTAGTCGAAATTCGACTATAATAAATTAAAATTATAAGTTTAAGCATTATTATCGTTTTATTGTCAAACACTATTAAAATTAGATAATATAATCACCGTGTTCGCCAAAACTGCACTATAGATAAATTATATTAAAGACAAAAAATATTAATCTATTCTCAATTCGACCCAATGAAGTAGGAAACCTATGGAAATGAAACGTCAACCAAAATTTCGTGCCACTGTGACGTCATCTGGCCACAAAACATGGCGGCTTTAGTGCTGTATAAAAGATTTCAATGTTATCAGGTTTTATCGATAAACGTTCTTGGCTCATTTTATTTTAAATATTGTTGAGTATTATTTATTTGTAGAATTTATACTTTAATGGGAAGTAAGTAGGTATATTGTTATGTGCAAATATGATATGATTTAGATGGGTGAAATCTAAGACAAGTTCGTCCTTCGAATTTGCCAAGTAAACGATATGATGATTTTTAAAAGTTGCTACACTGATTTTATAAAGTTGTCGTTTGTCGCAAAACATAAAGATATGGCGTAGTTCAAAGCCATCAGCCCATTTCTAGCATGCTAAATGTTATCGTATTTTGAGTACGTGTTTTTCTTAGACTATTACAATCTATTTTAATTGTTTTGCTGACTCTAAAGTCCGTAACATACTACCGCAGCGCACCCCAAGGAAGGTGCGCCGCACCATTTGAATCACTTTCGCTTGAGAGTGATTCAAATTTTAAACTTATCAAGGGACCGCGTGAAAAAAAAAACACCTACAGAACATTTATTCATTAATTACAAACGTCATTCCTTGTGACTTCCTCTCTAAAATCACTTAATTATTAAATATTTAACAAATTTACAATAGTGTTTTACTCACTGCGGAATAAAACTATTTTATTTAAATAGTTCCGAAGAGATTTTGTCGGTAGCCTTTTTCCCGAAATATCTAAACAGAATGTCTAAATATGTTTTGATGACATATTTTAAAGTGGTATTTATGATTAGTGTCATGATCAATAGATTCCGACCGAAAAATGGATTTTTCGGATGAGGGCTCCATAATGAATTTAAATACATATAGATAATAGTTTTAGGGCATCGACTTTCTTGAGATCCTATAAAATACGTTTTAATTATTATTTTTGTATGTTTTAAGCATGATAAATTATGAAATTTTATATAATCAATCATATGAAATCGATATCAAAGTCAATAAATAATGTACAACCCAAAACAGACGGCCGAACTGACGTGACAATGACATTTGGCGCGCTAAACATGGCGGATTTTCGGCCTCATTAGACGGAGACGGAGATATTTACGTATATTCATATTTCATTTTATGTACGCACTGAAATACTATTATATTGTTTTCCTGCGAGTTAAAGTGCTGAGTAAGAACGAGATAGATATATGTTTATGTATGTGCCTTCAAAATGGGTGCTATTTATATAAGCAATTGTACGTATAGAACAATATGTCGTGTCCCTACTATATAGGTCTATGATTCGACCACAGACATGACAAAAGTTTGACAATTGACAGTAAACAAAAAGTATATTTCTATGTATGCTTGTGTCGAATACGTGGTAGTGTGTGTAATGCTTTTTTTATTGATTTAATGTGTTTTCTATGCATAATTTTTTTTTTTTTTAATTCTTTATTAGAGCCATACACCTATTAGGTTAAGTCGGCTTATGCATAATTAAAAAAAAAAATATTAGCATTCTGCTCTTCTTCTCTATATTCTCTATAAGTATAGGAAATTTCATACTCCTCCGTCCGCGCAATTTTCGTAAAAAGGCTACAAAGTTTTTGCTTCACGTATTAATATATAGATTCTAGAGACAATAACTTTAGTCCAACAAACTGTCAAACTCTAATTTACTATTAGTACGTACTTTCTGTTTGTAAAGAAAACCATTTTTTTATTTTTATAGCTTAGATGGCTGGACGAGCTCACAGCCCACCTGGTGTTAAGTGCTTACTGGAGCCCATAGACATCTACAATGTAAATGCGCCACCCACCTTGAGATATAAGTTCTAAGGTCTCAGTATAGTTACAACGGCTACCCCACCCTTCAAACCGAAACGCATTACTGCTTCACGGCAGAAATAGGCGGGGTGGTGGTACCTACCCGTGCGAACTCACAAGAGGTCCTACCAGACCGGGGCGTGTCGGGTTTGGACGGGAAGCGGATGCGGCCGGTGCCGGGTCTGGTCGATGTTCGTCTATACTAATATTATAAAGAGGAAAGATTTGTTTGTTTGTTTGTTTCGAATAGGCTCCGAAACTACTGGACCGATTTGAAAAATTCTTTTTCCATTAGTAGCCGACATTGTCCCTGATGAACATAGGCTACTTTTTTTTAATTTTATTTTATTTTATTTTTTTGGTTTCATGTGTGTTTTAATGTTTCCGAAGCGAAGCGAGGGCGGGTCGCTAGTGCGTTATATTCGTTTTAGCGAGTTAGTATTTTAATACCAAATGTAAAAAATGTATTTTAAATTTGTACAATATTCATATTATGTCAACCTGCCGTCGGTGACTACAAAAACTACTTCGTATTCGTAATTTGTCAAATAATGAAATAAAAAGAATAAATACGAGATTACACCGTAACAGAATTTTTAATAATATCTTTAATTTTTTTTTTAATGTCCCTGAGGCAGACGAGCACACAGCCCACCTGATGGTGAGTGGTTACCGTCGCTCATAGACGTCAGTAATAGCAAGCCGCTGCCTACTGTTTTAATTACTGAATTTTAATTACAGAATTACTAAAACCTAAAAACATTAATCACAGTTTGCTACGACCGGCGCTGTTGCGAGTGTTCCGACTTTTTTTCTCTCATTTTTATATCGATAATATTGATTAGATTCCTTGGATTTGTGCTGAAGACTAGGTATTTTTTTTTATTTTATAATTTATTTATTTGGGAAACCAACAGTACAATACAAACATACGATATTAAAAAAAAAGTTAAAACAATAACCAAACATATTTCCACCATCAAAATCACATTTAAATAGAAAGTGAACAAAGGAAGAAATAAAAGAGAAATTTTGAAATTTAAATTTACACAAAAAAAAGTAACACCAGTCATCAGTAAGTATTCGTTGATAATGTTAATTGTTTTTATTTTTTATTAAAATACAATGCAATATTTAATTATATACCTTATGCTATTTTAATTGTTAGCCTAACCTAACCTAGCTTAAATAAACTATAAAATATTTTTCAGAAAAATTTGAAACAATTACCTAATTTAAAATAAAAAATGAGACTCTGAATCAAGTCGTTTTAAATTTGTATACTTATTTCATAAATCGATTTTCGTTAACGTATGATAACGGTTTCAAGGTACCACCACCCCGCCTATTTCCGCCGTGAAGCAGTAATGCGTTTCGGTTCGAAGGGTGGGGTAGCCGTTGTAACTATACTGAGACCTTAGAACTCATATCTCAAGGTGGGTGGCGCATTTACGTTGTAGATGTGTATGGGCTCCAGTAACCACTTAACACCAGGCGTGCTGTGAGCTCGTCCATCCATGTAAGCAATAAAAAAATAAAAATAAACCCAAGCGTCTTTGAAAACTAAATTAGTAGAACAATTCTCTTTTACGTACATGAGTGTGTTTTTCCCCTACCTAATCTCTGAAGCCTAAGGGGCTATTCCAGCTACGATTGAACTGATAGGTGAGCTTACGGGCTCAACCTGAGAGTATTTGCCAACACTAGCCCTAGAAAGAGCAGTGCTTCGCCGAATCTACTACCGGATCGAAATGCAATCCACTGAGAAGATCCGGCAAGAAACTCAATGGGTTGTGTCTATGGGCTAGATTGCACGTCGTCTGAGTCGATTAAGTAATTAGAGTCAATACAATTGATCGTGGATGTAATAAAGTGTAATTAATTTGTAAATTCGACTCTGCAACCCAGTCCTTAGCGGTCGGAACTGAATAAAAAGTTATAAACGATTCAGTAATTAACTGCTCGTAATGTTCATACGCCACGCGATAATTGAGGTATAAAAGAGACTTCCAAAGGAAATAGACGTTCAAATGCTAATAAAGATGTTAATCTATTGGTTCTCTATCGCATTGTTTGTTCAATGTGAATGCTTTAATATTGAAAACGATGTTGAGGCTTCGAATATAGCTGCCGTTCAATATAATGGTATGAGTCTGTTTTTTTTTAGTTTTATTTAGAATTCAAAAACATATATGTTTATTGCATGAATATGGACGAGCTTGCAACTGATCTGGTACTAAAGAAAGTGTAGCATAAGTAGTAGAGTGGCTACCGGAGACCATAGGCATCCAACGCAAATACCATCATCGGCCTTGAGACATAAGGTCGATGTCTCAATTTTACTCTCAATTAAAGCTGGACTTAGTTTCTTCTGGAAAAGGGCCACGGTACTGTGCTTTTAAATGATAAGGCCACCAATTGTTACGCAAATTTATATTATGTACATTTTAAAGTCCTTAATTTTTAATGTAGTTGTGGTAATTACACAAAGAGTTACTCCATTATTCTAATATCTAACATTCACTTATTAGTTGGTAGTTCATAAAACGCTAAACCGTAATGTAATTTAAATTTTACGATACATTGCCAGTGTCAACGTAAAAATGTACCGTTAATAAAAATAAAAAAAAAACGTGCTTTTGTGTGATTAAGACTGAGTAATGTATGACTAAGAATTGAGTTACTCACATGACAATGGGCAGTCGACTTTTACATCTATGTCTATTTGACGTTAATGCTTAATACTAGTTAAAGAGAAAGAAGTAGACCTACCTTAAAGGAAGAGGTAGACCTAAGAAGAAATGGATGGATTGCGTGAAAGACGATATGTGTAAGAGGGGAGTGAGCGAAGAAATGATACATGATAGAGAAGTATGGAAGGAGAAAACACGCTGTGCTGACTCTATGTAACTGGGAGAAGGGCAGGAGAATGAGGATTATGTTCAATACTTGTTAAAGTTAACTTATCGATTTCAGATCATGACAAAATAAGACCCTGTCCCCATTTCGATTTGAACTGTATAAGGGCTTACTTCAAACAACACTCATCATGTGTGGTTTCGCACGGACCAGTGCCGGATCCCCTGAAGCTACAAAATATCATTTTTCATTTACCGCACGCTAACATGTCTTTCGTTCTACGTAATTCTAACGTCGGTGGGCTTAATGGAAAAGTTGTTGAGTTTTAGTAAGTATTTTAGCTACTTAAGAACATGGACGACTTTTGCACTATTCCATAGATATCTGATATGGTCAAAAATATCTAATCTTATACCTTTAAACGAGCAATTCTTTTATATATATTTATCTATAATCTGAATCTCGGAAACGGCTCCAACGATTTTCATAAAATTTTGTATACAGGGGATTTCGGGGGCGATAAATCGATCTAGCTACGATTTATTTTCAGAAAATGTTGTTTTATTCGTGTTTTCAATAATCAACTCTTCCCGACATCTATTGGCGAATAATAATACTATGTTTCTTAATTGAGGGCAACTAACCGCTTTAAACACACAACAAGATGGCGTTATAAAAAAAAACAGAGCAAAGCTCGGTCATCATCTATCTCTTTGAAACAGATAACCAAGTTAATGCTAATTATCATTAAAGAAACTTTTTTTTTTATAGCGTAAACAAGAAAACTCACAAATTAGTGCTCGCTGCTGAGATGAAGGAAGTCACACTGGAATCTTCGCAAATGATAGCTAAGTACAGTCGAAAGGCGAAAGAATCAATAGAACTAAATGACGGAGTTTCGGGAAATTATGGTAGAAATTATCAATTTTTCATTTTAAATTTAATACGTAGTAAACAATAGCTGTATTGCATACAAAATAGTATACATATATGATACAGCTCGTTTGACTGACGGCAGAGTTCATGGCCTGGCCCATCTGATGCACAGACCTACAAAGCTTACTACTTACCTCGAAATATAAAGATGGAACCGTCTTTAAAACACATCAAGATGTAGCCCCATCGTCTTCATATCCTATTATCATTCTCATCCGTAATTTTTTGGTCTACCATGACCTACAGAGTCAGATCTCCGATTCTCATAATGGACTTTCGTAATATGTCCATTCTGTACTTAAACCGCTCCCGGGATAAGTTTAAATTATTATTTACAATGAATAACATTTGTAACCGTTTTAGGAACAATTACATTCACAACAGTATTCCCCGATATGACAAACCTATATTTAGCGGAAGCTGAAACCAACAGCTACATTGAGGACAGTAACGTGAAATACTACATCGGTCCTAAAATGAGCACTAGTGCGGGTAAACAATTAATCATACGTTTTATCTTTCTTGACACTTTGATATTTTCACAGGCTTACATTTGTAGATAAGGCATAGAAAGATTCACAAGTCATCGGTGAACGAATAGAAATATAATTTATTTTCTTGAATAATTTTCTTAAGTCAAAATCAGAAAATTATGATGTAAATAATGGACAGGTTTGTTTAAAAAAAATACTAATGTTGAACTTGAAAAAATAGCAGCCCTGTAAATCAACAATTGCGGCCACTTATTCTCGCTTAGGCTAGAATAATCACGTTATTTAATATTAATTCACAATTCCAGATTTTAGAATCCTTTCCATTTTAAATAGTAAATTAGCAATTTCCTTGTTATTTTTATACATATGGTAAGGGGTGCTGTGAACCCAAATCGACCGGCACAACTATCCAGAATAATTCTGAAGGAATATGACCGGCTTTAGGAATCGAGAAAATAACATCCACTATCTTGGAATAACGGTGGTGGTGCCGGACCCCATTGCTTTATGTTATAACTAGTTTCGGGTGGTAGTATTAGACCTAGGGGGCTTACAACATGCCCTGTTATTAATAAATACGCTCGATTTTCCAGCGGTGTCACGCAAGCCTCATGAGGTGTCTGGTCATCGATTGTAGCCTACATAGATCTATGTGGCCATAAACTTAAAACTATGATCCAATTTAATCCTCTTAATTTACTGGTAGGTACCACCACCTCGCCTATTTCTGTCGTGAAGCAGTAATGCGTTTCGGTTTGAAGGGTGGGGTAGCCGTTGTAACTATACTGAGACCTAAGAACTTATATCTCAAGATGGGTGGCGCATTTACGTTGTGGATGTCCATGGGCCCCAGTAACCACTTAGCACCAGGTGGACTGTGAGCTCGTCTACCCATCTAAGGAATAAAAATAAAAAAAAATTCATTTGCAGAAGTCGCAGTTTCGGATTCATTTGACAGGGTGCGAAAAAATCTGGGTCTAGATCTTCAAGAAGGCTTCGTGTTTCTAGGACCGATATTTATGGCGAATTTCATACAGTACAACATTTGTGATTTCGGCATCAAATACGGATAGTCAAGTTGATGATAGTTTTTTAAGATTCATTAAGATCCTTTCTATTATTATCATCATACTCTTATCAGCATGACCAACTTTCCTCTATGCGACAGAAACTTTCAATGGAATTTTCATTTACTACTTTTACTACTACTTCCACAGAGATCAAAGACCGGTGATAATACAATTAGTTTAATAAATTACTTTAGCTTGAAACACTGATCAGAATTATTAGAATACTTTAAAGTTTTCGTGGTCAAGGTCAACGCCGAGATTAAACCGCAAAAGCGGTTTTCATTCTGTCTACGACTCCCAAATACGGAAAGAAATGTAATACTATAATGTTAAAAGTTATATAAACTCACAATAACTGACACTTATTGTTAATATTGTAAAAAATTAAATAAAATTTATAAATTTAATTATAACTACTTTTATTATTCTACGATACCAGTAAGTCGTCGTGGCCTAACGGATAAGACGTCCGGTGCATTCGTGTAGAGCGATGCACCGGTGTTCGAATCCCGCAGGCGGGTACCAATTTTTCTAATGGAATACGTACTCAACAAATGTTCACGATTGATTTCCACGGTGAAGGAATAACATCGTGTAATAAAAATCAAACCCGCAAAATTATAATTTGCGTAATTACTGGTGGTAGGACCTCTTGTGAGTCCGCACGGGTAGGTACCATCACCCTGCCTATTTCTGCCGTGAAGCAGTAATGCGTTTCGGTTTGAAGGGTGGGGCAGCCGTTGTAACTATAATTGAGACCTCAGAACTTATATCTCAAGGTGGGTGGCGCATTTACGTTGTAGATGTCTATGGGCTCCAGTAACCACTTAACATCAGGTGGGCTGTGAGCTCGTCCACTCATCTAAGCAATAAAAAAAAAAAAAAAAATGTGATTAGTAAAATATTTTTTTGTTTTTTTGTATTTAGATTAGTTAAATTGGTGGACGAATCCTGATGTTCAGTGATAACCAGAGCCCATAGACATCTACAACGAAAATGCCGCTACCCTCCTGGAGACATGAGTTGTAAGGTCTCAGTTTTTACACTACGACTACTTTCTTTTGAGACTGTTCGTAAGTGTCGCTGCACACGTGCCACCAGCCAAAACCACAAAACGCACCCACCGACATATTTCCTGTTGTTTTCATACATTGTGCATTGAATTGCCGCACGCTGTAGACGCCGGTGGTCGCCACACACCACAAATTGCCACTGCTCGCCTCTAGTGGTCGGCTCGGCCACAAAACACCGGAGTCCATTATGATAATGCAAGCACGCGTTAAAAAAGTAGCAGTCACCGACCGCAAGTGTCCAACATGGGCCACAAGTGGCTGTCATGCGCGTCAACTTCTGTTGTAGCCGTTTCTAACTTCAAGTGGCGGCGGTTGTGGATGTGGCTAGTGGCCCGTCTGCAGCGACCCTTAGACTGGTCACAAAAACAGTCCTTCAGGTAACGTAATTAACGAATTTATAACTTCTTTTAAGAGGTAACTCATTTAGGTTCACTGAGCGAGTGAAATTGTTCGGTAGACCCACGATCTAAATGAAAAATATACTTCGGAACTTGTATATACGCAAACATATCTTGAAAATGTCGTTAAAGAGAGATTCAGGCGTGTGTCAAATACCTTGTGTTCTATATATATAGCTACCCTATCTATAGCTACATCATTATCGCGATAATTGGAATTTAAATTTACATGAATAATTGTTGTGTGAGCGAGATGCAAATAAATTTATAACACGCCGTTCCAGGCTAAGGAGAGTTATCTCTCCTATAAAAGCAGGTAGGCAGCGGCTTGGCTCGGTAGGCAGCGGCTTGGCTCTGTCCCTGGCATTGCTAAGGTCCATGGACGACGGTAACCACTCACCAGCAGGTGGGCCGTGTGCTCGTCTGCCTACAAGGGCAATAAAAAAAAGAAAAAAAAGAAAATCTTCACCATGATTTGAGCCTGTCTCACCTATCGTAAGCTGAAGTCAGCGTCTAAATGCTATGATATCTTCATCTCGTAGCTACTGCTAACTATACCCCTGACCCGGCCCACACCGAGCCACTATCGACGGTACACATTCCCATGGATCCTCTTTCAGTGCTTTTGGAAGCAACTAGTACTAATGTAAGTAATATGTAATTCGAAATCGTCGAAGAGTTCGATTTGACACTAGCTCATACCATCAGCGCGCTGGGCTTCTCGGCTGTTCTACTTAGCGGATCGCGGTTTTCATCCAATGGTAGATGCACTAGCAAATAACTGCGCTTGAGCCGTTGATCTGCTTCGGTGAGGTGGGGTAGTTTTTATTAAAGCCTACCTTCCCGGCTGAGCGGGTTCAGTTGTTGGCAAGGATCCTTAATACTAAAAAAAAGAAAACGTCTCGTGATGGATACCCGTCCATCACGAGACATGTGATTTAAGTTTCAATACTGTAACGGCTGTCCCACCCTTCAAAGCGGATTGCATGACTGCTCCGCGGCAGAAATAGGCAAACAAAGTTTGGTGATAAGTAAGTAAAAAGTATAGCTGCGCAAATTTGCAATACGCCTTCCTTATCACATATAATTATGCCAAATTAAAAGGTTTTAGACTTAACTTACACTTACCTATATTTTTATTCGATTTTAAAGATAATAATTATTAGATAATAGATTCAACGACTTAATTGCTTCCTAGCGGTAGGAAGTAAAATTCGGTTTACTTGTAAGATTATCCATTAAATCGTTAAGAATATTGACGTTTCCGGTACTTCAGTGTTTAATTCCGTTTAACCAAACAAAATAAATCAAACAACTGTAATTTTTAATTCGTATATATTCGCTAATAATATATTTTATCCGACAAACAATAAATCAGTCCTAAGTAGCACAAAACATTTTAAACTAGTACGAATAGAACTCGCTCGAGCTTATTTACTCTCAATTATGAATTATTATAGATTAGACTATTAACTGCAATTTTCAAACACGTAATAATTATATGTATAAATCACGCGATGAGTCTTTGTATTTAAAGGATTGCTTTATCTATATAATCCATTCGTTAAGTGGACAAAATGAGAAACTACCTGTGTTTGATATTCATGCTGGTCAGCTGCTTCGGCTGCGCTAGGTCCTCAAGCAAACATCCGGATTCTGACTATGGTAATATCTTTTTTAATTAAAAAAGTTCTAGCATATTTCTAGAATGCAGTGTGGGGGCTACTAAAAAGCGGGACGGACTACACTTGACCACATCATTCCATGACAAGTGAAAGAAACAAAATGGAACTGGACTTTTTTTTTATCGCTTAGATGGGTGGACGAGCTCACAGCCCTCCTGGTGTAAGGTGGTTACTGGAGCCCATAGATATCTACAACGTAAATGCGCCACTCACCTTGAGATATAAGTTCTAAGGTCCCAAGTACCACACTTCACAGTAGAAATAGGCAGGGTGGTGGTACCTACCCGTGCGGATTCACAAGAGGTCCTACCACCAGTAACTTAGGACTTTAGATATACACTCGGTTTTAGGTATATCAGACAGTCAGAGCAAATAAAGAAGATCGATTCGCTATCTAAAGTCCCAAGATGATGGTAATTCCAGATACTACGCAGATACTAAGCGCTCGTCCAAGAACTTTCGATGGGTTTTCGTGCCCAAGATCTATTAGCTACTTAACGCCACGTGAGCTTATCTATTCATGTTTTTTCTTAAATTTTTTCTTAGGTGGGTGGACGAGCTCACGGCCCATCTGATGTTAAGTGGTTACCGGAGCCCAAAGACACCTACTATGTAAATGCCGCCACCTCTCTCGAGACATAAGTTTTAAGGTCTCCGTTTTAACAATACATCGGCTCTCCCACCCTTTCGGCATAAATAGGCAGGATGGTGGCATCTATGCTTGCGGACACAAAAGACATCCTACCAATAATTACCCAAATTATAATTTTGTAAGTATTGCAATAAATAAATAAATATTTCAGATTCAATACGAAGACCTTGCCCCAGTTTCAACATAGATTGTATCAGATCATACTTCCAGCACCACGCATCGTGTGTACCCCACTACGAACCTATACCAGATCCATTATATCTGCAGAAGTACTCATTGTACATTGCCAATTCTAATATTACTGTCGAATTGAATGACGTGAAAGTCCAAGGTCTACTTAACGCCAAAATCGTGGAGTTTTAGTAAGTATCTTTATGATTTAGTTTGAATTTCTCGACAACGAGGTACGTTGCTTTATGTGAATATTAAGGTTTTTATGAAGACGTCACGAATATTCCAAAAATTTTATGGGTAATGGTTGGGAAGAATGTTGAGCTCCGATGTTGACTTTCAAAACAGCTGTAAAGCCCCGTATACTACTATGAGGTTTTAAAAAGTTATCTCACAATAATCAGTATTTGACTGAATGAAGTCTTCATTCATATTTGACTTTTGTATTTTTGTATGTACGATTAATATCAAACCAGGGTGTTTCAAAGCGAACTTAGACAATAAATGTCTCACTCTTAGAGTTACTAAATCATTACTAGTTTTGTATACGTCAAGTTTTGAAATATTTTTTCATGTTTTGGTTATGGAATTCCATTTATGAAAACAAAGCTGTAATATATAGGTATATTTTTAAAATGATTATAATTGTGTCTTTACTTTTTCAGCATCAACAAGAAAACAGATAAATTAGTGCTTGCTATTGAAACGGAAAAATTGTCCATCGACACACCTCGTCTGCTGATGAAGTACCATAGGAAAGCCCAGGAACCGATAGAATTGATTGACAAGCTTTACGTCGGCTATGGTAAATATCCTCAGCGAGACACTGCTCTTGCTAGGCTAGGCTAACTCACTCTAACCGGCGCCATCTAGGCGGCCTTCGGATAGCCTGCCGACCGAGAGGGCCAGTGGTCGTGGCGCCGACGACCGCCGGTCCGGCGTCCCGAGGGGGAGGGTGATGGGAGATATGTGCTCCGCACTAAGCGCTTCACTTTCCCCCCTTTGCCTTTTCATGAGTTCTGTCTCTGCGAGGTTTGGACGTTGGTTGTTGAGCGACAAGAGATTTTAGTTGGTCCGACTCCGACATGCTCCGCCCGCATCCCAAGTTGAGGGCGGAAGTCCAACAAAAAAAAGGGGCTAGTGTTAGCAATTTCTCGAAGGTTGAGTCCGTGAGCTCACCTACCTGTTCGCGCGTAGTTGAAATAGCCCCATAGGCTACCAACGATTAGGTAGGAAAAACTAAAAAAAATTAATCTGTAAAGTCGTATATCTGTAGTTTAATAATATATTCTAGTTCTACGTCAATAAATGCTCAGCCAGTGGTTGAAATTCAACTAGAGTGAAAGTAATTAAATGAATGTATTTGAGAT